GGGGAGAGGGAAAGTGGGTGATGGACATTGAGGAGTGCACCTGTTGGGATAAGCACTGGGTGTTGTAAGGAAACCAATTTGACAATAAATTTCATGTTAAAAAAAATATATATATATATATATGTATATATATGTTTTAAAAAGACTCCTGTCTTTAAAATACTCATTGATGGGGCACCTGGGTGGCGCAGTCGGTTAAGCGTCCGACTTCAGCCAGGTCACGATCTCGCGGTCCGTGAGTTCGAGCCCCGCGTTGGGCTCTGGGCTGATGGCTCAGAGCCTGGAGCCTGTTTCCGATTCTGTGTCTCCCTCTCTCTCTCTGCCCCTCCCCTGTTCATGCTCTGTCTCTCTCTGTCCCAAAAATAAATAAACGTTAAAATACTCATTGTTAAATCCTTTAAAATACATGGATTTTGAAAGAAAATGACCTTTACCTTTCCATAAATGAAGTCGCCTCCCTCACCATGATGGAGCCAGCGCGCTCTGCCTTCATCGGCTGTTCAGTGATCTCGTGCTCGCGCATGAGGAGGCAATCCCAGTACAGAGGGGATTTGTAACTGGAGAACCAAAAGTAGCCCAGCAGAAAGATAAAAAGAATCATGGAGAAGATGAAGGACCAGGGAAGACAGATCAAGCGACTCAGTTTCCCCAAGGCAGCCGTGAGTGCAGCAACAGCGACCAGCTGAATGCAGAGCCAGACTTTGCCCCCGATGGCTAATTCCGTGTCACGCGAGGGATCCGGCCAGCAAGGTTCAAACAGAGTGAATGGCATGCCATAGAAGTAATCAAAACCATAATTATATGGGTGATGGCAGTGGTCATGTCGGGAATCACAGTTTAAGCCTTCGTGCCATTTGCCTGAAATGACAAACAGACAAATAATGCATAATATGCACACACGCCACCAACACTGTGTGACTTCTTTACTGCACAAAAATCTGTGTCAAGACCTGGTTGTGAGCGACCAAATAGGATGAAAATTAAAGGGAGGAAAACACACTTGTGAGTCTGCAGCAAGGATGTGAACTGGGCAGTTTCTCGTTCACAGGAAGAAAAAAAGTCATAGCCACAAAGATGAAGACACAAGAGAGTCAGTGTAGACTATAGATGATGGATAGACAGGTTAGTAGGTAAGTAGATAAATAGATATTAGATGATGAGATACATATAATATAAGATGGATAGATGGATACATGAGTGGCAGATGAATGGATGGATGTATGGGTGGATGGATGGATGGACGGACGATGGATAGATAGATAGATAGATATGATGGATGGATAGATAGATAGATAGATAGATAGATAGATAGATAGATATGAAGGATGGATGGATGGATAGATGGATGGATGGTTGGATGAATGGATGGATGGATGAACAATGGATAGATTAGATAGAAAGATAGATAGATAGATAGATAGATAGATAGATAGATAGATAGATGATAGATAGATATGATGGATAGATAGATATTATGGATGGATAGATATGATGGATGGATAGATGGATGGATGGATGGATGGATGGATAGATGGATGCATGGTTGGACGATGGATAGATTAGATAGATAGATAGATAGATAGATAGATAGAT